TCAGTGGTGAAATACAAGCCTCTCAAGTTCAACAAAACCTACATCTATCCGACGTGGGCTTACGCTCTGGGATGGTCGCTCGGACTGTTCTGTGTTCTTCTGGTTCCTCTGTGGATCATCTTTAAAGTTACTTGGATGAAAGGGACAATATCACAGGTCGGTACTCGGTAAAGAAGAAAATCAAATGTTTTTATGTGTAGTTTGTGGAGGTTTGTGGTTTCAGCTTTAAAGAAAACATTTAATTTGATTCTCATCTGAGTAATCATGTAAAAGTTTACTCCCCATCTCATACGTTAATTCTTTTCCCCTTTTAATTATTTAGACTTTGTCCAAGAAGGGATTTGGGAAACAGGAGGACAGTAGGGATTAGGTTCAACAGAACTCCACTCATAAAGTGAATTAACAGTTACTACTTGTTATTGCTGCCCTCCTCTGCACGATTCAAACATTTTCTTCTACTTGAAATTAGTATTAAAGTGTCCATGAGTTAGTGAGTAAAACACAAAAACCATCAACTTGGTCTTCCTCTTTCATTTGGTGACTGCTCACTGCCACGTTGCATAGAAAAAATAAAAGGTTGCCCGTCCAACAGTGAGAACAACACAAATGCCACAATGAACACAAGTGTGGTTGTGCAACAAGCATCAGACTTTGAAAAGGCAAGCCGAAGCAGCTGCTGGACAAGAGAACTCCGCTTGACGCTAATGACCTTCTGAGAATGTGAGAAGTTGGAGGTTAGAGGTCAAACTTTTCTCTGTGGGCTACGTTTGAGTGCTTACGTAGAAGCTCACATTCTTCCCAGCTAAGTCAATTATTTTCATTATTGTTTAAAGGCGTATCGTTTTCTCAGTGAATGCTTTGGGCTACGAATTAAAACGGAGCATTCTAGTCGTCGAAACGTCCATACAGATGAATATATGTTACTGCTAGTCAGTTGTTGTCTCTGCTGCTTTATTAAAACAAGAGAAATGCTAAACAAAAACTTTAACAGCCTTAATTTAGTTCACAGTTAGTACAGAAAAAACAAAAGGTTTTTCTCAGAATCATAAATTTTTATGTAGCTGCTGCGTTGCCAATACAGAAAGTTCAGCAAATAAATTGTTTTGGCAAAAACATCAGCGAAAAAAAATCCACTGTGTGGGCCAGTCAGACACTGATAGCTTACTGATAGATCAAATTTTAATATGCTGGGCCGCCCCGGTACCTCAACCAGATCAGAACCGGGCCTGTAGTCCCCGACTCAGCAGTCGTGAGTTCGAATCCCGCTCACGACCATTTGCTCCCTGTTCTCCTCCCCCTTTCCTGTCTCTCTCTACCACACTGAATAAAGGCAAATAAAAAAATTTATATATAAAATAAAATAAAAGATTTAATATGCTGGTGTTGCCAATATGGGCCAAGAAAGCCAATAACACTATACTGCTAAAGGGGCGGAGGAAATTATATAGTTGGAACTGAATCTCTTGTAGACATGCGATTGTAATAAAAGAATGGCAGATCAGCAAAGTTTGCGAGTCTTCCTGAGGGCGGCATAAAAATCTGTTTCCAAATCTTGTTACACTCTGTTTAATAGTTTTTTTTATTAAGCACAAATGTCGGTTTCACGACAGGAAAACTCAGGCGATCGAGCAGAAGTAGGAGAATGCAAAATGCCTCCTTCAGTGCTCCTTCCTGTTTGTCAAACTATGTTGATTTTTAACTGTTGTCGAGAGAGTCGACCTGAAAGAGCCTTTATGCTGCTGGCCTCGTTCATTCCCTCCTTTTTTGTGTTCCCGCTGCTTGGGTTTGGTAAACTGTACTCGGTTTTGATGTGAACTCCTGTTTCCACAGAACATCAGGCAGCTCTGTCGCCCTGAAAACAAGATGCACAACACGGCGAAGCAACCCGAGCAGTGCCCTCTGAACCCCGACAACAGCCCCACACCTGCTGCCAACGAATACAAGGGAAGTGGCGGAGCTGAGATGGAGATGCAAGTGTGAGAAACTGAGCACTTTTGATCATTTTTGAAATGTGATGTTTTTATTATTAAGGTCCAGATTTTGAAAGCTAAGCCTTTTTTTTTTTTCTTTTTTAAATATTACAATAAGCAATAAATACTGAAGACTTTCATTTCAGATCAGGTCTGCAAGCTGCACAATGAGCAGTCATGCCATGCTACCATTTAAATGAAGTATTTAGAAAACAAACTTTACAGAGTTTGTCGAAGCTATTTTCATTCAAAGCGAATCATTTCATGCTTCAGTCTGTCGCCTTCACAAAGGATCAGAAGATGCCAAGTGTAATAATCACTGTCCACTAACATGCACTGTCACCGTAGGTTTTTAGACAATCCCACACCCGCAAAATAAAACATCTGGGAGTGGCAGCTGATGCATTTATTCAATGCAGAATGATTTATATGACGAATAAATGTTGCCTTAATATTACAGTGCCTATAGAAAGTATTCACCCCTCCTTGGAAGTTTCCCCCTTTCCCACATTGAATCATAGTCAATTTAATTTGGCTTTTTTTGGACAAGAATTTACAAAAAAAAAACAAAAACACTCATGTCAAAGTGAAAACAGAGTTCTACAATGTAATGTCCATCAAAAAACATAATGTAAGTGACTATTCATTTCCTTCATGTCAGTGTTTATTAAATGTTTTTGGTCAAAATCAGTTCAGCTAAAAGAGACGCCACCAAAGATCATCTAGTGGAGAGGAAGCTCACTCTGTGTTTAAAAAAATAAAATACAAAATACACCACAGAGTCCACCGTTGTAGATCATCTGGAGGGAGAGCACTGAGGAAATGTATGTAGACTTCTGACTTTAAAGAAAGTAATAGAAAATTGTCTTTTGAATGATTCTAACATTTAGCAAATCAAAATAATTTTGGTCATCCTAACTGACCTAAAACAGGAAAAGTCTGATTTAATGTCAGATAGTGAGAGAAAAAAAATCTTTTATGTCTTTTTATGCAGTGGATGTAAACTCCTGTAGATCACTTATTTTGCATTTTATACTCTTAAAAAAAATAATAGACATAACTTTGTTTTCACTTTGACTTGAAATAATCGTTTTTTTCTGTTAAATTCTAGTAAAAAAAAAAAAAAAGCCAAATTAAATTGACCATGATTTAAAATAAAAAGAGAAAATTGCAAAGGGGGTGGATGCTTTTTACAGGCACTGTATCTGTCAGCTATCACCTTTCCATGTCATATGTTTTTATGTTGTTACATTTATTTATGTACATATGTTTTTTGTATTCACCGATCATTTGCTGTAATGTAGTGGGAACCATAAGCCTGAGAACAAAGACACTTAATTATTTCCACTTTGCTGTGTCGGCTGGATCCCAGCCCATTACATTTCTGATTTCTGCACAGGTTTTTTTTTTTTGTTTGTTTGTTTTCTTAAACTGCAGTTTATCATACAGACCAATGTTTGAAATGGTTAAACTGTGTGCAGACATCATGCTTAACACAATCAAGCAATAACACACACTTAATACCTGTCATACTGTTCTCACGTAGCACTACCAAGTCAAAATGTATCGTCACAACGTAATTTCAAGCTCCAGGCGTAAAAGTCTTATTTATTTGCTTCACAGAAAGTGTTATCTGTCTTCCAGCTGAGGTACAAATGCAAAAAGCCAAAAGTAACAAGAAAACCTCCAGAGAGAAGTCTGCTACGACTCCCAGGGAATATTTCATTTGGAATACTGGGATTTGGAGTGGTTATGTTGCAGTAAATGGTCATGGCTGTAACAACGAAGCATGTTGGCGGATTTGGCTAACCAAACAGAACTGTTTATATATATGGTAGTCATAACCCTGTAATATCATTAAATTACCCTTTGTTTAGGACCAATCACCTCACATTTCACCAACCAGTCAAGTTGCAGTTTACTTCCATGTCTGTCCAGACTCATATAATATAGGTAGTGACTTGAAAAAACTTGAAAAACTTTAAAAAAAAAAAAAAAAAGGTCCTGGTGTATGTACTTGGCCAATAAAGCTGATTCTGATAGAATACAACCCCTTAGCCATGACAGCACACGATGTTTCCAATGCTGATGCTGATATGGATGCTTCACACACATTTCTAGTCTCTGAAGAAGTTTTATACAATCGTCACATTTTTAAGATGGACACACAAAATTGCTGTCGCCATCGTCTGACCAAATGTGAAATGTTGTCACAGAAGCTTCTGAGGTGACAAATGGATGAAAATTGACCTTTGACCCATCACTTTATCATCCTGTTGGGCATTTGTGAGAATAGGGGGGAAAAAAAGTATTTTGTCATGTTAAAGTGACCTTTTTACCACCACTGCTTGATATCTTCGTCTTTCAATCCAAGTGTGCCAAATTTTTAAGACACGTCCTCAAGGTGTTACAGATGTATAGTGTCCACGAGAACGGGAGCGATGGATGGACCAACAACCAGAACACGTGAACAGCTGTGTGGAGGCTCCAGGAAATGTTTTGATACAGAATATATTATATATGACGATATATATTTCGGTGTCGTACACGCACAATTTTGGGGAGTGGACTATGACATTTACTTACTTCACTTTTCACTGTAATTGTTTATTAACGTTGTAAAGATCCATAACTGCTGATTCCTGGAAAATCAATTCAGAATTTATAGGCGACGTCAAAGTGAAGGTGATTGAAGTAATAATGCTCTTGATTTACTTTAAAATGTTGTTAACCGTGTTACTCACTTTAATTTACTTTAATAACACTTTGTAATAACTACACCTGCAAGCTGTGTTCGGAGGAGAGCGCGGCTTGTTAGTAGCACCTGGAAAATCACAAAGAATCACAAAACGTATGCACTTTGTCACGTACTTAAAATGGACTTTGTACTAGCATTAAAAAAAAAAAAAAAAACTTTTATCAAATTATACATACGCTCTGGGAGATCAATAAATGGGGTTTCATTCTGTGTGAATTGTATTTGTGATGACCTTGACTTCATGATGCATTACAGTTATGCAGTTGATATTTAAATGGATTTTCTGTGTGTTGTCCTGGTCTAAACATGTATTTTTAAGACTCCAGAGCTGAGAGTGAGTTGAAATTACTATATGACAGCAGTAAAAAAAATCCTTCTACAACATTGAAGCTTAAGTCAGAGGTAATTCACTTGAGTAATACCATCATATTCAGCTTTTCTCTGCTGCATTTTAAAAGAAGATACTGTAAATGTCTATATTTCTTTTTTAGTTTTTTCAGACAATCCATATTCCACCAAATGAGTACTTTTACTTCTGATATATTGAAGGTTTTTTTAATTGCTAAGAAGATGTGCTCTGTGCTTGAAGTCCCGTAAAAACAATGAATGCAGGACTTCTACGTTGCAGTATCACAAATTTAACCTCATCTGAATAATTCTACTCTTGATGACTCTGAGAAATTTGGCAGGAAAGCGAACCAGATGTCTTAAAGTAGAGAAAAGGCCACAAAGGCAACCACCAGGCTCTTGGGAGTATCAGTGTGCACTCAGAGGTTGATCAGAGATCCTCAAGTGCCCCCTGCTGAGACTTTAAAACAGTGAGCTGCACAGAAATAGTCACCAAGGACCAGAAATGATGGAAAGGCATAACAGTGGTTTAGTAATAAGATACTTATCGGTGTTGTTGTATTGGACAAGTTAGGGGAGAACCCACTGGAAGCATAAATATAAAACGGTAGCTCAAATAACAAAATCTGAAATTCAGTACGTCTGGTTTTCATGGCTATATGCAGTCTTTTCACTTTATTTTATATTTTTTAAATGTCATCTCAGCGCCATGTCACAAATGTTTCATGATGCCATCAACACGCAGGAAACCACAAACCCAGATGCATAATTCAGAAATTGTGGGTGATTTTAACCTCCGCAACTGAGGAACTAAACTGCTTAATCAGCTCATCATCAAGCTCTGCAGAAGCCTGATGACGATCCTGATCATTTGAATCAGGTGTGTTGGAAGAGGGAAACATCTAAAACATGCAGGACTGTGGCTCTCGAGGACCAGGATTGGAGACCCCTGCTCTACACCCACGACTGTGATGCCACAAAGGGGAGAATATTCACACTCTCACATTTGCAGAAACACAACAGTCCAGGGTCTGATCGAAAACAGCGATGAGGCAGAAAACCTGGCATCAAAACAACCAATTGACCCTCAATGTCAACAAGGCAGAGGAAGTGACAGTGGACCTGAGGAAGGAGAGAAGCCACCAACACCACGACTTGCTGTGTATCAGTGGGTCTCAGGAGAAGACACCAAGTTCCTCGGGGGTGAGGACTTCACCTGGACCAACCACAGCACACAGACAATCAAGAAACGTCTCTGCAGCTTCTCCTGGTGCACTGCTGAGACCATTCTCACGAGCAGCATTATGGTGTGGTGCAGAAACTCTACACAAGGGAACCATAAGCACCTGGAGAGTGTCAAATCAGCCCAATACTCCGTAGGTACGACCCTCCCACCCCCACAGCACATCTACCAGCAGAGAGTCTCCAACAACATCATCAGGGACCCCACAGCATCACCTCTTCACACTCCGGCTGTCTGGTGGATGCTACAGAAATCATAAGTGAAGGATTGGAAGATTTAAAAAAAGTTTCTACTTCCAGGCAAAAGAAATGATGAACACCTCCAAACATCACTAACGAAGGACTTCATGCAATTGCACCACAAACATTGCACATTTTTTTTTGTTTGTTTCTCCTGCACATTCCTTTCTTTGCACTATACTTTATATATTCCGCATTTTTTCAGCTTCTTTGAGATCATTTACTGTACTTGTTACATATATATGAATACCTGAGAAAGCATATCTTCCATAACTTGAATGAGTTTTGCTTCGGGCACCAGTACACTGGACGACCTGTCACTCACACTGAAGCTTTCACGCTGACAACTGTTATTAAGGTTTTTTCTTTTTTTCCGGGGGAATGCTCAAATTACATTGATCTGTGCGTCTGTCAGCGCAGATGCTGTTTCGTAAGTACTCACTTACAAAAGCAACATGTGGCACCTCCTCTCCAGCTCTGCTCAAAAAACCTAAAACCATGTGGCAATGTGTAGAAATTTCTCTCTAAAATATATATACATATATATGAATAGTTCTTAACCATAAAAAGCACAGAAACTCAGCGCTTATACTCACATCTGAAGTTCAAAGAAGAGAAACATGTGGACAAGAGGTGTGACTCGTAAATCATGAGACCGGTGGTACTGTGTTGCATCACGTGTGCTGGGGTTGACTTACATATACAGTTGAAAAAAAAAGACCACCCATCAACTTTAAACTTCTAACTGTAGGAACAAAAAGGTGTTATGTCTTTGTACACAGTCTACGTAAACCACTCTTTGTATTATCAGCTATTAGAACGTTTATGGCTCCTGTCAAAAGCCAATTTGGCGCCTTTCATTATTAAAGAGTGTAATTGTCATCATTGAGAGTGTAATTGCATATGAGTCAAAACTGACAGGCCAATCAGTGTAACTGATGCAGTTAAAAACGCCTTGGGTCAAAATCAGTTTAATTAACTTTCTACTGTGTATCTCGAAATCACATACATCATCTCGTGACACCTTCCATCGTCAAGTCAACACTTTAGAATGTTGCAGAGAGAAACCCAACAGCTTCCTTTGAGCCTTTGTCTACATATGGGTGGGTGGTTACGCCCGTCGCCTCACAGCTAGAAGATCACCGGTTTGCATCTCGGTTAGGACGCCTGGGATCTT